ATAATATATATATATATATATATATATATATATATGTATATATAGAGTTGAAGATATATGTATATATATATATATATATAGGGCTCGTTCCTCTCGATTACTTGGAATATTTGATTTTAAGATATTGTAACAATGTTTGCCTCCCGTGGAACGCTATTGGTCCGGTCCGGACATTAGAGTGACAGCGACAGGTGGACAGAGAAGGCATCGACAATGAAAATAGAAACAGACATTCTCCACGCACCGGCCGCCGCGAAACCTCTTTTCTAATGCCAATATTTCAACCGTGCTCGCTATAACTGCTCGATGAACATGTTAACGATCGGCCAATATAAACAATATACATATTATAAATTCCACTTTAATAATCATCGCACTTTTCACTTTCGCGTTTAATATTAAAAAAAAAAGAAAAAATTACCCGCCTACTTTTACTTTACTCGCAAACTTTCTCGAGTCGAAAAACTTCGTGATTATCGTTGCTATTATTACGCTTGGAAAAATATTAATCATGTTATTCATCGAGNTCGTCGTCGTCGTCATCGTCATCGTCGTCGTCGTCGTCGTCGACCACGGTTTCTGAAAACTTACGACGCACCACGAATTCACCCAAGCAACGAGAAAAGTCCCTCCGGTGTTGGATTTCACTTTTCCACCTACGCGTTCCACCATATGCTAATTTGAGGACACGCGCAACACACAAGATATATCCGATTTTATGCGACTCTCTAGCGCCTATTAATTGAAAATTTTTCTTTTTCGCGGATTCTCGTCATCCTTCGACGAAAAAGGAAGTCGGGAGGCGTCTCCGATAATTTTCTCCGCGATTTTTGAAATAGCGAAGAGAAACGTATCGATTCCGTCCCTCTTCGATTCTCCTATTTATTAAACAGTGATACAGACGGTGCACACCGATGTTATATTATTAAAGAAAAAAAAAAAAAGAAGAAAAAAAAAACCACGTACAACACCAAAAAAATACAACACCAATAGCGACACCAAGTGTAGTGTAAGCCTTCACCACACACACAAGGTTATTATTAATTGTATTATAATTATGGTTAGCGGTGCCTGTACACTCCGTCGAATCTCCGTCCAATTTATCCGAACAAAAAGGATTCGCGTTAGTAAGAGAGAGAAAAAAAAATTACTTTTCTAAACTTTTCTAAAATCAGAATTAAGAATTTGTTTTATCATCGATATATATATATGTTTGAGATTTGTCGAAATTCTTACCGACGCGAGAACGAATTTATTTTATTTTCTTTTCTTTCTCTCTCTCTCTCGCTCTCTCTTTCTCTCGTTCTCTCTCTTTCTCTCTCTCTCCCTCTCTTTTCCGTGGTAACGATTTCCACGTTTCGATAACCGTTCGATATCTCGACGAATTTCTACGCTGCGGCTAAGAAATCTGACTGGGCCAAACCGAGTGTACCGCGATAAAATCGATTGGCACGATGAAAAATTAATGAAACGTTGCCGTGTTTCGCGGCGGTGCGGGTCGATTTCCGGTGAAAAATACGGGAGATCCGCACAGGTTTCGGAGAAATCGACCGTATTCGTTCATAATTCAACGAAATTCTGTTGCACACGGTTAATCTCCTCTCCATATTTCTCTCTCTTTCTTTCTCTCTTCCTTTTTTTCTCCCTTCCTTTCCTCTTATCTGCTCTCCTCCCCACCACCCTGCTTATTTTCGAATAATCGGATAAATAATTCACACGAGCGCCTCCGCGCGAGTTTCCCGCGAACTAATATTCCGAGGAATCGCGCGATTCGCGAAGAATTTCGCGAGCTGTGTAGTAGCGAAATAATGTTATCGATGAATCTTCACGTTTCGCGCGAACGCGTGAACGATACATCGTGAAATACGGATTCGATAAAAGTGAATGAATGAATGAGACGAATGGGAAAAAATTAGCACGCGAAAATTAATCTTAAAAGAGGGGAAGGATATACTCGATACGAAAAATACGTTACGATA